GCTTAAAGATTCTCCATTGACTAAACTCAGTTGCAACCAAATAACTGTTGCTCCATAGTCAATCAATGTAGTAATGGACTGAAAATGGACTTTGTCATGTAGTAAATGGACTTTTTCAGGAATATGCATTACTAAGAGATTTCTCCCCTTTTCCAAAGCTTAAAACTTACTCTTAAGATTGTCACTGTTTCACAGTAGTGCTAAGATGTTGCTTTTGAACGAAATGGAAAACATGTATTTCTGCCATGGAAGACTTGAAGTCACTCACAGCAAAGGTTACCAGAATTCACAATGTCTCCCTCACTGGATCAGCACATTAGTCAACTAAATATGAGCTAACAACCTGTTATTGCTTTCTAAAGGCAACTTGGTCTAACTGTAGAACATTGTAACAAATGCTCTTCTTATCAGATATATAACCCTGAAGTGAAACAAGATCATACTTTGAAAGAGACAATTTTAAATAGGAAACAGATGCCACCAAGATAGAAATATCTACTAAAGATATTCTAATCACCTAACCACTTTATTTTCACTCTAAAATTAAAAGAATAAAAATCTCAATGCTAAAAGTATAAGGAAAATAAGTTAATTCTGGAGAAGGGTGAGCTTTGAAAGCTATAAGTGGAAATTTGAGAAAGGTACCTTTTCTTAACAAAACATTTCAGGCATCCCAAAAGGCAAACCAAATACCCATGCCCACCCACCACCAGCTTAAGCAATAAAACATTACGGATGCAACGGGAGCCCAGTATGACTCCTCCCAGGTCCCTTTCTCTCTCCCCAGAGGTAACCACTATCTTGAGTATGACATTTGTCTTTCTCACATGTAGAGTGACAATGTTTTTCATGTTTATTTTTACAAATTTAATTTTATATATTCCTTTGAATACATAATATCTGCACTACACAATTCAAAAGTATAAGAGGATATATAGTGAAATGTTTCCTTGCTACCTAGTTCCCCTCCTCTCAACAACTAATGTAACACAGTTTCATGTATATCTTTAGACACTCGATACATATGTAAGCAGTTACACCTAGATATATATTTGCCCCTGCTTTTTTTTTTTTTTAATTTTTTTTTTTTTGAGGCAGATTCGCCCTGAGCTAACATCTGTGCCAATCTTCCTCTATGTTTTGTATGTGGGTTGCCGCCACAGCATGGCTGATGAGTGGTGTAGGTCTGTGCTGGGGATCTGAACCCACAAACCCAGGCACCCGGAGCAGAGCATGCTGAACTTAACCACTACACCACGGGGCTGGCCCCTGTCCCTGCTTGTCATACACAAATGGTAAGTATACCGTACACACTGTTCTACTACCTCCTTATTTTTCCTCTTAAAAATACACCTGGGAAATTGTTCCCTAAATTATATAAAGTCTCTTGCTTCTTTTTTCTTAATGTTTGCAAAGTATATCACTGTATAGGTAAACCAAAATTTAATTATTGTCCTATTAGAAAGGTTACTTCCAATCTTTTGTATTTATAAACAATACAGCAATGAATAACTCATTATTTCACACATGAGTATCTCTACAGGATAAATTCCTAGAAGTTGAATTGCTAGGTTAATTTTAATAAATGCTGTCACACTCTATAGAGATGGTACCACACCAGCAAGGCATGAGTGTTTTTGCATGTTTTTAAAATTTATATAAATAACATGACTGTACCTATTCTTCTACTTCTGCTTTTGTGGCCTAACCTTCTAGACTTGAGATTCACCCATGCTGATATATATAGCTCTAGTTCATATATAGATTTTTTTACTTAAAAAAATGTTTAACTAACTTCTACTGTGATTCATTCACAGTCACAGTATAGTCACCTATTTACCTGAAATTGCAGTTTTATGTACAACTACTCACCAACTTAGTAGGTTCTATGTGTAAACAACTCATTTGCTGAAGACCACCAACCCCACTAAAGAGAAAGTCTTCTATTCTCTTGGAAAACTAATAAAAACCGCCATTTTAATTTACTGCAATAGTGGCATGACTATTCAATCCATGCTTTTATAACTGTTCCACCTGGGGGAGGAGGGGGGAGATACCTTGGAAATAATAAAGATAATTCAAGCATAATCCTAAACTAATCCTACTTGCCTGTGTAAACTTTCCCCTCAAAATATTACAATTAAGTTACCAATGGATTTTTTAGCCTGTAACAGGAAACAAAATAATCACTATGAATTTACAGTTCCCTCCTCCCCAAAATTAAATTTCTTCTAAGCACAGAGCACTATATTGGGAATTTTTCTGCCTACCAATATCACAACTTCTATTATATTCCTTTTCTATGTTAAATTTACCAACATGTATAACTAATTTTAAAAGTTCTATCTACTCCAAATTGTCTCCACTGACACATACAGCTAATCGTATTATTCAAAGGAGTCTTGTCAAATTAAGGCTAGTGTAAGTTACCATCACCACTATAGTAGCTATTTTTGCCTGCTCATCAAGCATTTGGGGGACTGTATGTCCCCCTTTCTCTAGCCTAACAATTAATACTCATTTCTGTGTAGGTATCGACCCTGTCTCCCTACACTATCCAAGTACTTCAGAAGAAAATGGGGGCAGGCCCCGTGGTGTAGTGGTTAAGTGCGCTCGCTCCGTTGCTGGAGGCCCAGGTTCGGATCCCGGACTCGCACTGATGCACCCCTTGTCAAGCCATGCTGAGGCAGCGTCCCACATAAAGTGGAGAAAGATGGGCATAGATGTCAGCCCAGGGCCAGTCTTCCTCAGCAAAAAGAGGAGGATTGGCATTGGATGTTAGCTCAGAGCTGATCTTCTTCACAAAAAAAAAAAAAAGAAGATGCACCCCACACACACACATCCAAGAGTGGGCCATATTCCTCCAAGGCTAATGCTATCTCCCTTGCGAGTGCCTACTTAGGAACAAGCGTAAGCCAACTGGCATCCCTGGCCAGAGGGACTGGATGAGCCAATGAGACCCATGAGAGGTACGCTGGGGATTCCTTGCTCCGGAGAGAGAACCACAGAAAGAGATGTTCTTGATAGGTTGAGTTGGACTTTCTATTACTTGGGGCAAAAAGCATCCCAATCGTTTAACAACTTAAAAAAATGCACTAGCTGAGGATTTTGACCTACATCAACTAAGATATTTATGAACAAATGCAATCATATCTATGAAACCTATGATCCTTTGACTAATATTGGCCTTTCTATATTTGGAGAGGTTGTTGACTTTGACAGTGAGTGATACTTCAAGCGAGTCACATGTGGAGGAGTGAAGGTTAAGGAACAGCAGTCACTAGAGGGATTCATGTCACAGCCACACCACAGATCAAATCCAGAAAATGAAAAATTTCCTCTTGCTTTCTTATATGCCATGCCGAAAACCACCTCACAAATAAGAAAATGAGACCTGACTCTGCTCAAGTCTATGTTAGGAGAAAGATGAGCACCCTCATCCAAACAGAACTCTGGGCAGGGTGAGGGCATCAAGATTGTCATCACTATTTGGGGGGGTATTAATGAGCATTTCTTACAATACTTGTAAATGAAAAGCAGTTTGTAACCACTAACAAGAGACAGCATAGCCAAAAATAAATAACTTCAATGGCACAGAAACATCTTACTGGCCTGATACAGACCCACCCTAATAGCTGTTAGTACCCTATTCTGGCATTTGCTTCTTACTTTCTTGCATTGTTGGCCTTGCTGATTTTCATAAGAAGGTTTAGGCAGTTGCTTCCCTGTGGACTATACAGCAATTTTCCAGTTCTATGACTCAGAAAGGGCAAGAGAAGGAAGGGTTCTCCTCTTCCATCCCTAGATAAAATCAGAAAATGTTTATTTAGCTCTGGGAGAGCAAGGCTCAGTTAGTTAATTCACTGTACAGACTTTCACAAACTTTTTTTCTTTCAAGTCAAACATTTACCAAGAGCTTAGCGTATGCAAGTCATAGTCTATTACTTATCCAAAGCCAAGGCGTGAATTATTTTGATCAGTTCCATACTTCCTTCCTCTACATCCCTAATAACAAAGTCAAATATTTTAAAGAAAAAAATATTTATGCCTCACAAAGTTTGCAATTAAACTTCCTGTGCCAGAATTGGCGGACTGGAGAGCAAGTTTGTTATTTCCAGAATACTGTGTTGAAACACAAGGGTAAGAGATTCTGCACCTTTCTTTGAAAAGAAAAAAGGTTCACATGATGTGCACTAAATTGTTTATTAAAATGTAAATATCCTGTGAAAATAAATGGAAACGACTGCATTAATGAACTAATAAATACTATCTGGAGGCAACATCTGCACTAACTACCAGGTTTGGCACAGAGAGACTGCAAAACCGATCATTCAGAAACACCGAAGGCACGGAGTCTGCATTCAGAACATAAACGATGCATCGCAAATAGAGGACCGGTATAAATTCATGACCTGCTTCGAAAAAAATTAGTGATCCTTTCTGACAAGATGGCCCTTAAAAAAAAAAAAGAAAATCTGTAAGCTACTCCCAAAGCAGTCTAGTTTGGGGGGAACACATTTCACACTTGAGAATCAGCCGGGGCAGGGAAGCCGACAGCCGCTCAAGAGGACGGGAACACGGACAATGCCGAGGACGGCCAGGGAAGCGACGGGCTGGCCCCGCGCCGAGGGAGCAGAGCCGGGCGAACGCGGGGCCGCCTCCCCGGCGCCCCGACCCCGCACTCGGGGCGCGCCGCGCAGCCCCCGACTGCCCCGCCTGGGAAAGTTCGCACCTCCGCGTCCCCGCCCCTCGCACCCACGAGCCCCTCGGGCCGCGGCGCCGTCGCCATGGCAACCCGCCCCACCCCACCCCCGCCCAGCCCGGGAGGGCCGCGCCGCAGTCCCGCGGCGGCCCGGGGCTCCGCTCCCGCCGGAGCCCGGACAGGGACCGCCGAGCCCGGGAGACGAGGAACGCAGCGGGCGGGGAGGACGAAGAGGTGCGAGGGGCGCAAGTCGCCCGGATCCCGGGCTGGGGCCCAGCCTCGCCCCGGGGGTCCTCACCCTTCACTTTGCCGAACGTGCCGACCCCCAGCGTGTCCCCCAGGATGTAGTGGCCGATCTTCACCCGCCCGTCGTGTTTCTGCTTCTCGGCTGTCGCCATCTTTCTCCAGGAACTGAGTCTGCGCATGGCGCCGCGGGAGGGGGCGGAGGGGGCGGGCAGGGCCGCGCCGGGGAGGCTCCCTGGTGGAAGGCTGGTGCCACTGCACGAGTGAGTAATTGCAGCCAGACACCGCGGGGAGGGGAGGGCAGGCGTGAGCGGGGCCCGAGGGGGGCTGCCTGGCTGGGCGGCCGCCGAGCTCCCGGGCGCCTGCCATCTCCGAGGCCCG